TAGATTTAATAACACTGGACATGGGGATATACAGTGTACAGTGACGCTTCTTACTAAGGTTTGGGTCGTGTTTTGATGCAGCTGAAGCCTCTTCTAGTTTATGGGTCTAGGCAACTGAATTTCCACTGTCAAAATTACTTCTCCCATGAGCTGAAGCTGGCTGTAATTGTCTACATTCTGAGAATCTAGCGTCCTTATCTATATAGAGAGACATTCGAGATCTACACTGACCATAAGAGCCTAAAATACATATTTACCTAAAGAGATCTCAATATACGCCAGAGACGTTGGATAGAGCTCCTGAAGGACTATAATTATAAGATCTTGTAACATCCAAAAAAAAAGAAATATAGTGGCAAATACTCTTACTAGAAAGACTACAAGTATTAAGGCCCACATGATGATCTCCGAGTGGTAATTGGTAGAAGCCATGCAGAGGATACAACTACAAGATTTGAAACGTGCTACATGCATGACTCATTTAACAATACAACCTAAGTTGATCCAGAGGGTCAAGGAGGCTCAATTGGATGATCCCACCTAGTAGTAAAAAAGGACACCGAATAGGGTTTAAAGGCAAGATTTCAAATTTTCGATGATGGGTCACTCATGTTCCAAGATAGGTTGTGTGTTCCCCATTTTGGTGGAACAATATGCAAAAAGATATCGCTGAGTTCATCTCTAAGTACCTCATTTATCAACAGGTTAAAGCAGAACATCAACAATTGGGGAGGCTTACTCCAACCGCTACTAATTTCTAAGTGAACATGGGAGCATATTACGATGGACTTTATGGCAGGATTACCCAAAGACTGTTCAGGCCACAATGCTATTTGGGTACTTACTGACATATGTACCAAATCTTCACATTTTCTAACTATAAAAATGACGGACTCCTTGGGCAAGTTGGTCATAACACATATCAGGGAGACAGCTAGATACATGGAGTTTCAGTGTTAGTAGTATTAGATAGGGATCCTAGATTCACATCTAGATTTTGGAAAAGTTTTCAACAAACCATAGGAACTAAGTTATCCTTTAATACAACATTTCATCCCCATACAGATGGTCAGTCAGAAAGAACTATTCATGCACTAGAGGAATACTCAGGGTTTATGTCTTGGATTTCAGAGGTCATTAGAGTGACCATTTGCCATTGATAGAGTTTTCCTGCAATAACAGTTATCCAACAAACATTGGCATAACCCCTTATGAAACACTGTATGGTCGATCGTGCAGATCACTGATCTGTTGGGAAGAGGTAGCTGATAGGAAACTAATCAGTCCAGATCTTGTAAATGACACCACAGCAAAAATAGCTAAGATAAAAAACAAATATTTCGGTGCCCAAAATAGACAAAAGAGTTGTACGAACACTCGAAGAAGGGATTTGAAATTCAAAGTGGGCAATCGTATTTTTTCTAAAAATCTCTCCTTTTAAGGGTATCACTAGATTTGGAAGGAAAGAAAAATTAAACCTCCACTTCATTGGACCATTTGGGATCCTGGAGAGAATTGAACCATCTGCCTACATGTTAGCATTGCCACAACGTCTTCCATGTGTCAATGTTATGAAAATACAACCTTGACACTTCACACATTTTGTCTTATGAGTCTATCCAACTCCAAGAGGATTTATCTTATGAAGAGATACTTATTCGTGTCTTGAACTAGGAATAGAAGGTACTTCGCAACATAACCATTTCCTTTATCAAGGTGTTATGGCAGCATCACTCTCACAACGAAGCTACATGGGAATTAGAATTAGACTTTCTAGCTAAATAACCTCACTTATCTGATGGGGCGTAACAATTTAGAGGTCTAATTTTTTTTAGAGGGGGATAATTATAATATCTAAGGTTTTTTTAATAAATAAATAAATATTTAAATTCACTGCATAATAAGGGATGAAGCACACTTATTTATTTTGTAAATTAAAAATGTGTGAATATCTTAAATTAAGATCAAAATCTATTAAAATGCGAAAAATAATTGAAATAATTGATTTAGGGACCTTTCCAAAATGAAATCTCAAAGTTAGGGCCCTTTTGACATAAAAATGGACTAAGCTGAAAGAATGTTAGGGACAAGGGCTAATATATAATTTTTTTTAAAAAGGCCACGTAGGATCGTTGACTCACCTGCGCGACAAGTAGGATCATGCCGCATGGATGCCACGCCAACAAGTGACACAACACAAACGACACGTTGGCGATCTGCGAGCTCGCGAACGGATGGCTCTCCCTTCGTCACATGGACGATGCAGATTTGGTAAGGGGGAGTATTTAAGCTTCACCCCTATCGGCTCCAAAAACCCTAGTCGACAGGGTAAACCAGAGAATAAAGAAGCAGATACTAGAAGAGGCTACAGGTGGCAGAGCATGGTAGCGCCACCGTGCCGAAATCCCAAACCGACCCCCGATAAGTGATTTTTTTTCATTGCCATTTTGTAGCATCCATCAACAATTTCAGCTAAAAGTTCAAGCCCGAAAGTGGAGCAACCATGCCGACAGCTAAAAACCCAACGCGACTCCCGTAAGTTGCCTCTTTTCACCCCTTTTTTCTTCCGATTAGCATTTTGAAAGTCTTGTTCTGTAGAATTAAAAAGAAAGGAAAGAAAACAAAAAAAAAACATAAAGCTTAGGGATGGGAAGCTGAGCTGCAATGCCTCAGGTTTTCGATTCCGGTAATGATCTCGAACCCATTTCCGTAATTATTTATTGAAGTTTAAATCAGATATATTGTTTAAAAAATATATAATAATAATGAAATAATAATAATTATTATAATAATAATAATTCATTGCCGATAGAGCAATTCCATCATGTTCTGTAATCTGTTTATGCATATTTTTCGTAAATGATGTGTTTATATATGTGACGGTGTATAAAAGTGTACAAATATATATATATATATATATATATATTCGATTTGGGTGCATATGTTGATAATTTGATGTATAATAATTTTTATATTTCTGTTCATGGTATGTTGATGTATGTGACGATACATATAATGTATATAGCGATATATATTTTAATTCTGAGGCATATGATGATGGGTTGATGTGTAAAAATCTCAACAAGTGTTGCGGTTATGCGCGTAAATGTGTTTTTATATCGTATATTGTTGGATGTTAATGTTAGTGCATATGACGAGTAATTGGAGTTATCAGTGATTGAATGACAAGGTGTGAATGTGCGTATATGTGTGTTAAATGGGAAATGTATGATGAAAAGTTAGGAAAAGTATACAATACATAACTATTTGTTTTGGATTATTTTACCTTGATTTTGTGGTGGCTATGTTTTGGTTGTGGAGTGATACCCACTGTAAATATAAAATAACAGTGGCACCCTTACGGGTTGGGGTATGGTGGTGGTTGGTTAGTTATGGCCCTCATACGGGTTGGGATATGAGAATGGTTAGTGTTTGTGGCGCCCACATGGGTTGGGTGTGAGGTGGCCGATAATTGTTGTGCTCATATAGGTTGGGGTATGAGTACGATCAACAATTTATTGTTGATTTCAAAAAAGTTTTTGATTATCCACGAGTAGTGAAAACCCTTTAATGTGTTAAATAAAAAACTGAATAGATATGAGTGACCCTGAATATTCAACGAAAAATAAAGGTAAAATTAATTTGATTCATAAATTATATTTAATTGTATATTTGATACAGTACAACAGTGTTTGTGCATGAGAATGCAAGTTGTTTGTGTAGGTATATAATGTGTCTTCATGGCATTGTGAATGAAGAATGCATGAGAGGTTTTCAAATAATCAAATGAATTTTATAAACATATATTCATCAGTGTTTTACTATTTTCTATAATACTTTGGTAAATTACTACGTTGTTTGGTTTTTGAATCCGAATCCTTACGGAACCAGTGTAGCTCACCCAATTTATTATCCATATTTTTCAGACCAGAACGCTCAGGACCCTACTCCCGAGTACTGAGAGAATTGCTAGGAGATCGCCTTTTTTTTTATTTTACTCTGATTCGGACTTTACTTAAGGTTGTTTACTTGCCTTGCAGTAAGTTTTTATTTTTTAGGATTTATACATGCCTCACAAATATTTAGAAGTTTTTTGAGATTAAGTTATGTAAGGGATGCACTTTTAACTTTTAAATATAGTTGCGTGAGATGTTTCTTAAAATTACTTATCATCATTTATTTACGTGCGACTAGACCTCTGATTTATTCGGGTCGTTTCAGTTAATATATCTAAATAATAAAAGATTACTACATAATGTTTGTCTTCTTGTTGGTGCTTTTGACCAAAAGAATATTTTTTTGAGAAAAAACCAAGAAAAAAAAATACCCCACAAAGAATTTTTAAATAATTTTCTTTCTTCAATTCAAATAATGGAGAATCAAAACATAAGCAACATTTTTGCCACATACACACTTGAAAATGGAAGTCTATTTTTTCTTATTTGGAGAAATTTAATTTTTTTAATTATAATCTAAATCATCCTACCTAAGATTTGAATCTCCATCACTTTCATAGAATTGACCCATTAACAATATGCTTAAAAATGATTAACAATATAATTAAATACAAATAGTTGAAAATTTTAATTCTTAATACCCAATAATAATTAATTCATAATAAATATAATTACATTTGACACATTATTTTTTAAAATAATTTACTAATATAAATATTCTATAAGGATAATCACCATTTAATTAAAAAATAATAAATAATATTATATAATAAATTATAATTAAATTAAATTTTTATTCTAATAAATTATTTAGATGAAATATTTGAGAACAACTAATTTTTTTAATTAAAATAATTATAAAATAAAAAATTTTAACTTTTTAAATAAAAAATATTATTATATTTCAAAAAAAATAAAAAAAAAATTATTTAGTTCTAGATTTCCCTTTTCGATTAGCGTGCCACGCAACTTACGACTTATCCCTTGCTAAGAGCTTAAGGTATATAAG